GCCAGGGTTCTGGAGGGTAGGAAGAAAGGAAGAAGAGAAGATTTGAGGGGGTGGTCAAAGGCCAGAGGGAGGATTACAATCACTCAAAGACTCAATATTCACCAACGTAAAACTTGGGTCACTGGGCAGAGTTGAGTGTATGAGATAGAGGGCCCTCCCAGGAAGTTCTAACCTGAGCCTCTGGCAGGAACTTAAATGATAACTCAGGCTCCAGTGAGACCCTGGCAGGATTCCAAGGGTGGAGTGTGTTTGTGTGTGTGTGTACATGTGTATATATATATTTACATGTGTGTACATGTGTATATGTACATATATATGTGTGTGTCTACATATACGTGTGTGTGTGTGTGTGTGTGTGACTGAATAGTTCTTGGAACAGATTCTCCTCTGAGACTCAAGCAGGCTTTTCTCTCCCATTAGGAACATAGAGGTTTTCTAGTTTTATAACAGGCCATTTCTTTTAAATGTTCAGGGAATGACTCCATCTAGATCTTGGCCCGAATTTTTCTACGTGACCTCTTGTGTTAGCATAGGGTAGAGAACAAGATAACTATCAAACTTTTTTTCTTTTTAGGTGTATTATTATTATTACTGTAAGCACAGCATTTACAACAAATACCAGCAATCCAGTCATTGAGCAAGAGATATATTGGAGGAGGGGAGGGGAGAGGATAAATATCTAATAGAAATCCTCCTAAATTTTAAGCATGGTCATCTTGACCAGTTAGAATGGAGCAGAGAAGCAGAGGGATATTGTAGCATATATTTAAACAAAATAAAATCAACCAAATGTTTCTCAGAGTTCACTGATACTGTCCCCTTGATATTGTGGGAAAAGTGCTGGTTTTGGAGTTAGGACCCGAGTTCAAATCTTGACTCTGTTATTTTCTGTCATTGTGACCTTGGTGCAGGTGATTTCCCTTTACTCACTTTGTTTTTCCTCATCTGTAAAATCAGGTTCATACTGGATGACCTCAAAGGCCCCTTCCTTCACTAAATTCTTGATTATGATTCTTGGCCATGGGGCTATGGGCTGGGGGAGTCCTTCTTCCTCTTTGACTTAAGTTGGAGGACTTTCTTTAAGACTGGATTCCATATTGGTGAGTGAACATGATTATTTTCCCAATACCTCACTTTGGGCCTTGGCGAGGATTTAGAATCGCCCCAGTTTCCACCAATAATCTGTGGACAGAGCTGCCATGATTAGACCACAAAGATTACAAAGAGTGGGCATTGGGAGGGGCAGGGCCATCTACGTATTCCTACCTCACTGATGACAAACCCAGCCAGGGAGGAAGTTAAGAGTGAGACAATTTAATTAAAGTCAATGAACATTTTAATGCCCACCACATGCAAGCCTTTGAACTCATTGCTGGGCATATATGTCCAGGCAGTGCAGTCCCTGCCCTCATGGGGCATACATTCTGTTGGACATTTACACTGGTAAGTAAAGACAGGGTAATTTGGGAAGGGTAAGAGTCCTCACTGTCCAGATAGGCTTCATGGAGGAGGTGGTACCTGAACTAAGTCTTATAGGAAGCTAAGAATGCTAGGAAGTGGAGGTTAGGAAGGAGCGCATTACAGGCATAGGGGCACAGACTGGACATGGAATACTGTGTTCTGTATGTAGCTAGAAGGGCAGTTTGGCTATAGAACATAAGAGTAAGTGAAGGGGACTGAATTGAAATAAATCTGGAAAGGTAGACAGGAGCCAAGTTATGGAGGGCTTGTATTTTATCTTAGAGGTAATAGGGAGCCTGTGAAAGTTTTTGAGGAGGACAGTGACCTTGATGGCACTATCTTGCAGCTTTGGGGAGGAGAAGGGAGAGACTGGAATCTGGAATACCAGTTTAGGAAGGAAAGAAAGGATAAGAGCTTGAACCAAGGTAATGGGAGGGTAAATAACAATGTACAGAGATTATTGGTCAAAAAAATAGGCTGTGATAATCCTAAGAAATATACCCTCCCCACCTTTGGAAAGTAGCAACTGTGCCCATCGACCAGAATTGCAATGTCATTGCAATGTTCAAGGCTTTCAGAGGTCCGGCTTTAAGTTTAAAGGAATCTGCCCCAGGAGTTGAGGGTTAACGTTTGAAGGCAGGTGTGGAAACAAAAGTGCTGGTTGCCTCTTTGGTGGTTTTTTTTTTTCTTTCGTTCTCTTTTGGAAGAGTTAGCTGGATCTGATCCATGAAAAATAACAAACTTGGCTCTCCCTGCTAAGCTTCAAGTTCTAGTAATAAAACTCCCTATCCTGGCAGATACAGTAATGTTCTGCTCTTTAAAAAAATATTTAGTAGTAGCATAACCAGTATTTTAAAGACCCACTTTGTACATGGTTAAAATGACAGGAAACACAGAGTAGAGGGGGCACCCCTGAGGCATCCCCAGAACTGGTTGCCAGATTGGTTAGCCATGGAATGAATGATTCCACTATCTTCTCTTCAATGTAATCTCTTGCTAAGAATGAGAGATACTTGGCTTTTTGAATTAGAGTTATTCCCACTGGAAGACATTAGTCATATCACAGAATGTCAGGGTATGAAGTTTTAATTAGGGAGGAAGAAAACTCCGTGGGTTTTGGAGGAAAGGAAGGCAGTGAGTCTTGAAACATGTTTAGTCACTGATGTTTTTAGGTGAAGATATTAGATGAGAAATTGTATTGAGAAGCCAAACATGGTGTACTTATGATGAACAAGCTTGGTCCTAGAGACGAGTTGAGAATATGTTCCTTCCTCCTTCCTTTCGTTGAAGAGGTGAGAGACTATGGATGGGCTATAATGCATGTCCTATATCCCCCATATTGACTTTGCCGAATGACTCTTAATGGATGGCTCATTGGGTAATGGGTGAGGGGAAAGGGGAGTTAGATTTTTAGAAATAAAGGTGATATAAAAACAAAAGGCACTAATTAAACATTAAAAGAAAAGAAATCAAATTGAGTTTTAAAGTCTGATTAAAAGATCATTTCTTAGTGGAGGGAATGAGGAATTTTAGTCATTGGAATAAAGAAGTTGTGGAATTTCCTATCCTAAAAGTCTTCAGAAACAGAAGCCATTTTTATTTATAAGTGAAGGTTAAAGATCCTTCCCTCCTCCTTGTTTTCCCCAAAATGAGGTCTTCCAGGTTGAATAAATGACCTCTTAGAATCAAAGGTAATAGGATCATAGAGTTAAAGCTTGAGGGAACCCTAAAGATTAGACAGTACAGCTAGTAAGTATCTGAGGGAGGTTCAGGGTTAGTCACAAAGCCACTGAGCATCTAAGTCAAAATGGAATCTTTTCTGACCCCCACATCCTAGAGTCAGCTGGGTGGTGCAGTGATAGAGTTCTGGGCCTGGAGTCAGGAAGACTCTTCTTCCTGAGTTCAAATCCAGCTTCAGACACTTACTAGCTGGGTGACACTGAGCAAGTCACTTAACCCTGGCTGCCTCAGTTTCCCCATCTGTAAAATGATATGATGAAGGAGATGACAAGCCACTCCAGTATCTTTGCCAAGAAAACCCCAAATGGGGTCACAGAGAGTTGGACATGACTGAAATGACTGAACAACAACCACTGTTGTGATCTAGGTTCTCCTTATTTCCCTCATCAGTTCATACAAATCTTTCTAAGTTTCTCTGAATTCCTCCTATTTTCTATTTCTTTCTGAACAATATTATATATTTATATGCCATAATCCTCCCCCCCCCACATCTGATGGACACTCACTTTGTTTTAGGTTCTTTGTTTCGAGGAAGTGGGTTGTCATGAATATTTTGGTATAGATTGCATGAGATGCATTTGTTGATTGGTTGACTAATTGTATTTCATTGCCTGAAACAATTCCTGCTACATGTTGCTGTAGTTTGGTCATTTCAGTCATGTCTGACTCTTCATGCCTCCATTTTGGGGTTTTCTTGGCAAAGATACTGGAGTGGTTTGCTGTTTTTCTTCTCCAGTTCATTTTACAGATGAGGAAAATGAGGCAAACAGGGTTAAGGGACTTGCCCAGGGTCACGCAGCTAGTAAGTATCTGAGGCTGTATTTGAATTCAGGAAGATGAGTCTTCCTGATTCTAAGCCCAGTGCTCTATCCACTACCACTGAGTTGCCCTGCTCCTGCCACGTAGTAGGTATGCCCTGCTCCTGCCACGTAGTAGGTACTTTAAAATGCATAATGAATAGAATTGGGTTAAATTAAGCAAGAGGCAACAGAAGACAAGAGTCTAAAGGAGAAGAGAATGTAAACCAACCAAACAGAAATTTTTCATTAATCTTCAGAAAGGAATGCTTTATTGACCTTGGAAAATTCCCTTTGTCTCCTCTACAGCAAACCTGAAAGATGGCAGTTGGTTTCCAAATTGCTGGGTGCTGGGCATTTTAATCTCTTGATTGCCTTTTAGACCAAGGGTGATACTGAGACCCACAGGACTTAGACTTCACAGTGGAGTGAGCTGGGCTTTGTTTCTCTTCCATTTTGATGTTGTGGCATCTCCCAGTGTGGCAGCTGCCTCCACTGGTGCAGACTGGCAACTCATCTTTAACTGAAAATCTTAGAGAGTTGCTGGGGCCCACTGAGAAGGAGGTGACTGGTCTAGGATCTCCTAGCCAGCAATGCCAGAGGCAAGGACCTCCATGGTCAATCCTTGCCCTCCCATGATAGGTTGCCTTTCAGTTACTGCATACTTCCCCGAAATCCCTTAAAAGAATCAGATATCCCATCGGGCACCCAGCTTTTAAATAAACCGAGGGTGCATTGCTTTAGTTGCTACGCATTTTATCTCCTTGTTTACACGGTTCTCTTTCTTGCCTTCCAACGTGCACTAATGGGATTTATAACATATTCCACGTCGAAGACATTTACTCTCGGTACGTATATTTTAAAACAAAAGTGTTTTATGCTTTACTCATGAATGAGAGCACGTGAGGCAGATCATCCAGAGGTTAAGCAGATGTTACCCTAAATACGGAGCCTGATTTTGGCAGTGGAATAAAGGATTCCTGGGCCCTTGTGTTTTTCTAGGTGACAAGTTTGCTAAAAATGACTCCGAGGAGCAAGTGCCTGTCAGTGGGGAGAGGAGAGCTGAGTTTCAGCGTTTTGCAGGGTAGTAAATGCCGGTCTCTATTATTAAAGCGTGATGGAGGGCAAAATGATGGAGAAGCAGAATGGCAGGCTCACGTTTCAGAGCAGGTGAGCAGCTAGGGCATTTCTGGGTAGCCCCAGAAATGGGGCATTTCAAAGTGGAGTATGATCTAAGTAGCTTTCACTGGTTTTCCGTACATCAATAGCTTTCGGAAAGCCAGGGATTAGCTCCCACTGGGCTGGGTTGATGTGATGGCTGGCAAGTGTTGTAAAATAAGTTATTAGCCAAAGTTTATGTGCGGCGTTGTAAAACCTGGGCCCGGAAAAACCCATCCCAGACAGGGGGGACCCCCCACTGACCTATCAGACCTCCAGTGTGGAAGGACCTCTTTTTTTTCTTTCTTTTTTTTTTTTTGGAGGGGCTGGACACGAGTTGGTGTCCCTCGAACACAGGCATAAACAGAGGCAAAAGCAGAACCTTCTGTCCTCAGGAGTTTCTCCCCCATGAGCTCTGGGACAGTTGAATTGAGCGGTAGGGGCTGGGGGCTGGGGGCATGGAGGTGGCGGTCACTGTGGAAAGCCCCCTGTGGCCCCTCATCAGTGTCCAGGGGCATAGCCCCCTCCGCTTTGTGAATCTTCAAGGTCCTTGTTGATTCCCCCTCCGCGAGCTCAGCCCTATCCCTTCTTTTCGCCTCTTCACAACCTCCTCACTTCTTGCCCGGACAGTTGCCGTTGTCTCCTGGTTGATTTCCCCATCTTCAGTCTCTCCTCATCTCTGATCTGCCCTCTCTACAGCTGCCAAGCCACTTCTCCTAAAACATTTCACTGCTGAAGAAGATTGATTGGCCCAGGCTTACCTCTTGGATGAAATAGAAACGCCTCTGGCTGCCAGTAAAGTCCCTCACTCTCTGGCCACAGCCCATCATCGCCCGGGATTCCGAATCCTTCATGAACCCTGCTTTCTCAGCTGAGCTAACCAATTGGCTGCTCCTCACGCTGGACATTTCATCCGTCTGTGCCGGCTGTCTGCCCTACCTGGAGTGCCCTCCCTCCTCACCTTCACCTAGCTCCCATCCAGGGGCCGCCTCTTACTGGGCACTGTTCTCACCACCCCTCCTCCCTCCAGTTGCCAAGTGGCCTACCAAATTACTTTGTATTTTCTTTGTATATATTATGAGCTAACTTACCTGGATTCCCTGGCTGGCCTCACTCCTTGACCCTCCAGAGATTTGGACCTTGCCTCGCTCAGCCATCTCCAGCCAGCCCATTGGCCTTGTACTGTCCCCTTCCCCCACTCCCTTCTATCTCACCTTTCTGGGATGGCTTCTGCCATTAGCATTCAGCACTTTCAGCACAGCGACAGGCTAGCATGCCTAGCTGCGTTTGATACACAGTAATCGCTTAATAAATACTATGTGTTTCTATCTTGTGCCTTCACTCAGGTACGATGTAAGCTCCCAAGGGACAGCAAGTTAGCCTAGTAGGTAGGGTGCTGGACTTAATAGCTGTATGACCCTAGGCAAATCATTTAACCCCTCAGCCTCAGTTTCCTCATCTGTAAAATGGTAATAATAATTGCACTTATCTCCCAGGGTTACTGTGAGGATCAAATGTGATAATATTTGTAAAATGCTTTGCAAACCATAAAGTATTACATAAATACTAGCTATTATTATTATTATTATTATTATTACTAGTGTTTTTATTAATAGTTAGCATTTATATGTTATAATAATAATACTATATAAAATGCTAGCTATCATCATTAGTTAGCATTTATATGTACTATAATAACACTATATATGTTAGCCATTATAAAACTGTTAATATTACTTTGATTACTATTAGCACAATTATTACTATAATATGTGATTTTAAATATATTGTCATTAATAGCTGTTATTAATAATAGCTAGTGTTTATGTAGTATTATATAGTATATATGAATATATACTACATATTATACTGCAAATTATATAACACTGCATATTAACAATAGCTAACATTTGTGTAGTATCATAGTATATGTGAATATATATTACATATTATACAGCACTATATATTAATAGCTAGCATTTATATATTATAGTATATATAAATATATACTACATAGTGTACTATATATTATACAGCACTATATATGAATAATAGCTAGTACTTATAGAGTATTATTATATTACAAATAAAAATAATGTTTTTGTCTGTTTCCTTAGCACCAACTTTTGCAAAGTTCATGGCACATAGTAGATAAGTTATTAAGTGATTGCTGAATGAACGAAATGAGAATAATAATAATCCAGTTCTTTGAGTATAGAAGATCTCTGCCTATGTACAAAATCAGTAAACATTGGTCAGAATGGATCCAGTCTAAATGTGGGACTTTTAAATTTCATTTATGAAGTCAGCAGAGTATTCATAAATCACCCAGGGAATTTTATTTGGATCATTTTAATAACCTCTTGACTTCATCATCTGTGGGAATTTGGGGGTCTTTCAAAGTAAACTCCGGTCATCATTCTGTGTGCTCTTATGAAAAAAATGTAATGGGGTAGAAATCTTTGGGCCTTCTGACTTTGCTCCTTATCTCCATGCTTGAGAAAGAGCTCACACAAGAGAACAGAGTCCTTGGGTCTTTCCCAGAGGTAGAAGGAAGCCTCCTGGAGTTGGACCCCAGGGTATTGAGAGTAAGCCCTACTTTTGTGAAAAATCCACCTTTTTTTGCCCGGATCATGTTAGCTAGGTCTCACTAGCCTGCCCTTCCTCTGTCAAAAACATTTTTGGAATTAGTTTTCCTTTGCTGCAGGGCAGTTGGATTTATGGGATTCTGTGTGTATTTCTCTTCTGTTTTTGTCCCCTTCAGGAAGGTGTACAAATTACAACTTTTAAAAACGTGTTTATAGTTTGAAAGCAGAGTGTGGGGGTAGGTGTTATGTGCCTGCACATGTGTGCATTCATGCATGGGTCTGTATATATGCTTGTATGTATGTATGTTTCTCCAGTGGACTGTGTATGTGGGACTGGGAATTTGATTTTGGGTTTTGTCCTGCTTAGAGCCAGACCTGGAAAAATTGTGCACAAGGGAATTTGGGGGAGCTGTTACAGGGGTGACTAATATTTATTTAGGAACATGTGGAGGAGTGGACATACCCTGTACTTAAATTACTTTCCCCATTAGCACTTCGGAAGATGTGGGAGATCTTTGGCAGAGGGTGTGGATAAGCTTTCTTGGCTAGAACTCAGGTGGGTCTTGTCTGGTACTTGAGTTCATGTAGATAGAGGTAGTGAGTTGAGTAGTCAGTCAGCAAGCATTTATTAGGCACTTACTATGTGTCAGCCACTTTGCTAGGGGCTGAGGATATAAAGATACACACATACACACATTACCTCATTTGGCCTGCCCAAAAAACATCTCATCAGTTAGGTGCAACTAGATGTGGAAACTGAGTCTCTGAAAAGTTAAATTCGTACCTGTTTATCTATATATTCTCTTCTTCTTTAGAATTTCAGATCTTTGAGAACAAAGACTAGGAGGTTTTTTGGTTGTTGTTTTTTTTTAAATCTTTTTTAGTCCTTAGCACACATACTTAACATGTAATAAGCACTGAGTAGTTTGTTGATTGACTTGCTGAAGCTCAGAAGGTTTTCTAGACAGATGGTAGATCCAGAATTTGAAACCAGTTTTTCTGATTCCTAATTCAAGTGTTATTTCCCCCCTGTGTTACTATATACTGTCTCTAAGAGATAATGATGGATTCATATTATTTGAAAACTACTTCGGTGTCTCCGGACAAAGAGTCCTATTAAAGGGAGTGTGACATCTTGAATATTTTGTCGTTTTGCAGAAGGCCAAGACATGTTTGAAGAAATTGTCTTTTTTTATGACCTGCTAAATAAATGTTAAAACTTGTATGGCTTAAAGAGATAGCATTGACTGTAAATGTCCATCAGTTGCTTGATTCTGGTTATTGTGGCTAAAGCATGATAAGAAGGAGAGAATGGGGTCAGCCAGGAGGCTGCCTCTCAGAGCATACCTGTTCTTTAGTGGATTCTCTGAGGAATCTGGACTGGTTCTTGGATGTTCAGGGTTGGAAACTCAATTTTGTCCGTTTGCCCAAGAGCAATTAATCTCTTAGGACTGAATAAACTCCAGAGAGACTAAGTCATAAAACAGAATTCCAGTTTATTAATTTGAAATGGGAACCATACTTGTGAGCGTCCCAATCCTGATTGTCTGCACAGGGCATGACCTTCTGGTGGTAGGGCCCCTTAAGACGCTAAATTTTATGTTAGAAAATTGTTTTGTGAGCCCAAAATAAGAGCAAAAGAGGGAACTGGATGTTCCTCAGGAATATTTCCATCCTCTCAGTGGTAGCCTACTAAGTTTCCTTTCTTCATTTCAGAGAGATTTTTTTTTGTTTAGATAACTGATATCAGTCACTAGGTTCAGAGTCCCTAGTGCTGTGGACCATGCTGGGCAGACACGGACATGTTCTCTTTTTAGTCCACTGTCTTCATAGCTGCCCAATTGACAGGCTACGTTTAAAGATCTGGCCTGGTCCCTCCTTTCCATGCATTTAATGTCTCTTTTCCTCCTCCTCCTCCTCCTCCTCCTCTTCCTCCTCCTCCCCTTCAGGCAATCAACATTTCAGCCAAAATAGCCTCTGTTCTTTCACTTGACATGCCTTCTCTTCCTAGGGCCTGGAATGTTCTCCCTCCTCAGTGCTGCCTCTTGGCTTCTTTTGTTTCATTCAAGGCTTGGCCCAAGTACCTTTTCTAGGAAGAAAGATCTAGACCTGGAAGGTCTAGTCCAGAAGCTTTCTAGTCCAATCTCTTAATTTTTAGAGATGAAGAAACCGAAGCCCAGAATTTCATGGCTAGTATGTATCAGAGGTGGGATTTGAACTCCAATTCTCTGACTCCAGAAGCCGGGGTCTTTTCACTGAACCACACTGTCCGTTACACCTTAGAATGTTAGCTCTGTGTGAGGCAGGGACTGACTCTTTAATTGTTTTTGGATGGTGATTATAAAAAGTAAGTCATTAATAAATTCTTGTTGATTATTTGATTGATTGAATTCTGTTTCATATAGGTGTCAGAAGGTTCTGTGGTCGAGTTTCCGGAAGGAAACTTCTCTCTATCAGCAAAAACAGAGGAAAGAAGCTTTCCCCATGGAAATGTTCACTTGTTGCAGTGGGCCCAGAAGGAATATGGTGCAGTCACCTCTTTCACAGAACTCAAGATATCGAAGAATGTTTATATCAAAGTGGGTGAAGGTAAGTTGATTTGGCTGATGAGAGCCCGTCAGTTAAAGATGGCAGCCAGTTCACCTTTTCTTTGCTGGGACCAGGACCATGGAGAAAATTTCTCAGAGTCTGGGATACATATCTCAGATGAGATAATATATGTAGAGGGCTTTGCAACCTTAAAATGCTATGTGAACATTAGTCATTGTTCTTGTAACTGCTATCTCACAGAATCCCAATCGTCTACTTCAAAATGTTCATTTGTGTAGAAGGTTTAATTGGGTTACTCAGGGGTTAACATGCAAGTTCTAGAGTCAAGATGATCAGAATTCAAATCCTGATTCAGATACTTATTAGCTGTGGGACCCTGGTCAAGTCATTTCATCTTTCTCTGCCTCAGTTTCCTTTCTTTAAAATGAAGGGGTTGTACTCGATTGTCTTTGACAGTCAAAGTCTGTGATCTGGTTATCCATAAGAAAGCAAGAACTCTCTACCCACCCACCCACCCAAATCCACTATATTGCCTTGAAGACTGGTCCTGAATGTGTGTGTGTGTGTGTATGTGTGTGTGTTTCTCTGTGGGATAATTTCAGTGGCCACAAGGGCCAAAAGAAATCATGGATCTGAAGTGACTCCTAGAACAAATACCCAGGTCAGCTGAGCCATGTTATCACAGCATTGTTGTTGATGTTGAATCATTTCAGTCCTGTCCCAACTTTCTGTGACCCTGGGGCAAACTGAGTTAGGTGACTTTCCCAGGGTCATGCAGCTACTAAGTGTCTGAAGCTGTATTTGAAGGCAGGTCCTCCTGACTGCAGGGCCAGAGCTTTATTCACTTTGTCACCTAGCTGATCAGGCTAAAGTAAATTAGACAGGGCCTAAAGGAAGCCAGGGCTTAGGTAAGCAAGAATTTAAACAGGAATTGAAAATATTCCACTGTGTATCCCCTAAAACACTGTTTCTTCAGCCTAATTATTTTCCTTTCGGTTGCCATCAGGTGCATCCAAAATTCTTTCTCTATCATTAAGTGTGCGTGACTGGGGGAAAGTGGGAATGTGAGATTTATGGACTGTTCAGGGCTGACACAGGCAGTGTAAGACATAGTTCTCATTCCCTCTTTCTCTCCTCTCCCCCCACTTTCTCCCTCTGACTTTCCCTCTTTCTCTCCCTGCCCCCCTTCTTCTCTCTGTGTCTGTCTTTATCTCTTTCTCTCTCTCTCCCTGCCCCCCTCTGTCTCCATCTTTGTCTCTGTCTTTCCCTTTCTGCCCCACCCCATCCCCACAGCACCAATCTGTCTCTCTCTCACAGGTTGGCATGCATCCTAGATTTTGGGAAAGCATATTTCAAAAGGTTCATGAGGAAGTATCCCATGGAGTAAAATGTTCAGAGGAAGTCAGCCAGTCAGCAAGCATTTATTAAATACCTACTGTGTGCCAGGCACTGTACTAAGCATTGGAGATGAAAAGAAAGGCAAATGACATTTCTTTTCTCAAGGAGATGGCAGTCTAATGGGGGAGAACATAGCACATTCAAATAGCTACGTACAACCAAGATGTACAAAGATACCTTAGGGATAGCTCCAGAGGGAAGATACTGAGATGGAGGCTTTTTTCAGAAGGTTTTACATTCCCTGAGGCCTGAAGGAAGCCAGGGAAACCTGGCTCCTGGAGTTAGAGCTGAGAAGGGATTCTAGGCAGAGAACGGGATGAGAGATGCTTAGGAATGAAATTCTGAAGCTGGGAATGGTAACAATTCCGTTGAGGAGGAAAAATGAGATTTGTCTGAAGAAACCAACGTAGGTGCCCAGGGAACTCGGCAAGAGAATGAATAGAAGATGGCACCGCAGTTCTATGCAAAGAGCGTCAGGGATTCCGAAGCTGAGAATGAGCCGAGGTGGATGAAGGGAGTTAAGGATGACGTAAAAAATTGACTGTTGTTGGTGTGTAGCTTGGGAGCAAAAGAGAGATCAGATGCTTTGTTTGGGATGGTTGGCCCAAGGATAACTAAGAGAGCCAAAGCTTCTTTCATTATTCCTTTTGTTTTCCTGGTTACATTGTAAACAACAACAGAAATGATGAATCACTGTGTGACCACGGGCAAGTCACTTAACCCTATTGCCTAGCCCCCCCCCCAAAAAAAGAGAAATAATGAATCAGGAGTTGGTACCCAGCATAGGTACTAAGAGAGCACCTAGCTTCCGTTTATGAAGTCAAGGCCCCTGGCCCAGATGAGTTCCATCTTCTGCTCTGGAAAGAGCTGGTGGCCCTGTACTGTCTTTGTCTTCGACTGTGCTGTACTGTACTGTAGTGTCTTTGCCAGATCATGGAAGATGGGATTGCTGCCACAAGATTGGAGAAAGGCAGATTTCCCGATTTTCGGAAAAAGGGAAGGTCCCAAGGCAGGGACCAAGGGGCTGGAGGTACCGAGAAGGTATGAATTTCAGAGTTGATTTGATATTGCAGGAAGATGAGTTTCTGGAGATGATGGTAAAGTCCAGGTGAACAGCCAGGTGAGAAATTTCCCAGTTGAGTGAACATGGGCAGACAGAGATTAAATGACTTGTCCAGGATCATACAGCTAAGAAGAATTTGAGAAGGGATTTGAATTCAGGTCTTCCTGGCTCTAGGTCCAGAACTCTAGCCACTGTACTACCTATCTGCCTCTGACAGATGGTGCAGCCTCTGACAGGGTAGGGGCATTGGGCTGAATTTATTAATAAGATGAAATTCAAAAAGTAGAGGTAAATGTAAAGTCTTATGTTTGGATACAAAAAAAATCATTTTTCACAAGTACAAGATGGAAGAGGCATGTTTAGATGGCTTCGAGAAAGAGAATTTAGTGAGCATTTATTAATGATAGTTTTGAAGGAAGATCTGGGGGTTTTAGTGGACTGCAAGCTTGGTCAGCATATGAGGCAGCATGTGATGGGGCAGCCCCCCCCCAAAAAAAAACAACTCCTGCTGGGATCTTGGGCTACATTAAGACGGGCATAGTTTCTAGGAATGAGCAAGTGCTTAGCACAGTGCCTGGCACATTAATAAATGCTTGCTCTGGGACAGCTAGGTGGCGCAGTGGATAGAGGTACCGGCCCTGAAGTCAGGAGGACCTGAGTTCAAATCCGGCCTCAGACCCAACACTTGACACTTAACTAGCTGTGTGACCCTGGGCAAGTCACTTAACGCCAATTGCCTAAAAAAAAAAAAAAATGCTTGCTCATTGATTGATTAAAATGACGATCCCACTATGCTCTGCCGTGGTCAGACCACATCTGTAGTGTTTAGTTCTGGGCATCACAGTTGAAGACTGAGATAGCTAGATGGCTTCCAGGCTGGTGAAGGGCTTTGAGCCCCTTTTATATATTATCTGCCACAATTGATGAGAATTTAAGCTCTTTGAGAACAAGGACTAACTTGCTTACTTTTGTTTGTGTCCCTCTTTCTTAACCCGGTGCTTGGCACATAATAGATGATTCATAAATGCTTTTTTCATTCAATGCCTGGTGCATAGTAAGTACTTGATAATGCTTTCTTTCATTCATTCAATTCAATCCAATTCAATAAACCATTTTTAAGTGCCTACTATGTGCCAGGCACCATGCTGGTTTTTAACCTGGGGTCCATGAGGTCTGTGGATCAATTTCAGGGAGTCTGTGAACTTGAGGAAAACAATTATTTATTGTTACTAAGCTCTGACTAAAATTTAGCATCTTTCAATTATTTAAAATAAATTTTCAGTTATTTAAAATATTTTTCAAATATTTTATTGGTGCTCTTTTATTCTTTTTTCATCTCTGTTACTTTCCTTTTCCTCCCAGAGAAGCCTTTCTTTTTAACAAGTAAGTACAGTCAAGAAAATCAGTCAACATATTGACCTTGTCTTAAGATGTGTGCCTTAGCAGCATGGAGTAGTGGATTGGGTACTCAACTCGGAGGCATGAAGACCTGGGTTCAGATCCTGTCTCAGGCACTTATTGGCTGTGTATTGCTGGGCAACTCATTTACCTTCCCTGTGCCTCAGTTTCCTCATTTTAAAATGGGACAGGTAAAGATCTTTTCCAGCTCTAAACTGAAATGCTATGGCTTCTCTGCCCAGAGGCTGGAAGCAAACTTCATGGTCTTTCTTCTGAAGTCTTCATCGATCACGCATTGATAGGAGCTCTGAAGATTCCTTGGTCGTCATATACATTTTTACTTGCTTTGGCTTGTTTTCATTATTTCTTGTTGTCCTTTTCCTTTTTTGTTGCCAGTCACCACCCTATAATTAAAGCCTTTATTATCACACCTTTAGGCAATAACAAGAAAAAAGGGAATAATTGATAGAACAAGATTATAGAGGGTGGGGGAAGAGAAGTGGGGACAGAGCCATAACTAGGGTGGGACAATCAGAGCTTTGACCCAGGGCCCTGAAATTTAGAGGAGGTACTTCAGTACCTTAGAAACAACTGAACTTTGCAACTGGTTAGTAAAAATAATGAATTAAAATAGAAGGCTACCACTTTGCCCCAGGTGAACTCTTCCCAGCTGGACCTTGCCCTGCTCACCTATACCTTCACCCCTACCACAGCCTTTCCAGCAGTCATCTCATACTGTCCCAGAGAAACTGATCTGATGGTATGTTTTCTGACACTTGCCCTGGTATAACATTGCTAGTTATGGCTTTGGAAGTGGCAGGAGGAACAGTGCCCCAATCAGTACGAAAGCTTTCTGGTCACTGTCGTGCCATTAAACTTGAAATCAAAGGTGACTTGTGATTTTATGTGATAGTAAGATTTCAGTTAAATATTTATAACTGCAGAAAAACCCTTCAAATCTTTTTATATTCGCGGTGTTTATTTCATGGATGGTTACATTATTGGAGAAAGAGCTGGTGTTTTGCCTTGATAAGAGATTGCTTGTTTCAATCTCCTTGCTTTGGAGAGGGATAGAAATAACCCATGACTTAATTATGAAAGTCTATTGTTCTACTAACCCCTTTCATCATATTTTTGGTCAAGTTAGGATAGGGTATAATTAGAGCCAAAAATAGCTCCC